ACTATTTTCTTTCCTCTCTTTTTCTGTTGTGGACCCTTTGGTTCTTTGTTTTTGTTAAGCTCAAAGCAGCTCTCTCGTGGGACCAGCACATTGGTGAGCTTCATTATGCTTCCTGCCGGCGCAGAGGTTTCTCACTCAAATTTCGGTTGAGGAGATCGGTGTTACTTTGCAGCCTCCTTCTTTATCCCTTTTCTGGTGAATTCATGAGAAGGCAAAGCTTTCTGGATAGCACTCCTGGGTCCATCTGATGTTAAAATAAAAGGTTGGTAAGTAGACTGGGGGTGCCTCATGTTTTGTGTCCAGACCATTTCTTTGCCAGTAATTTGCGCGCCACTGGCTACTGTGACCGCGCTTTGACCAGTTGACTGTTTCTCCTCTCTGACAACTGACCAGTACCCTTCTGACCAGTACCCTGACAGATACGTACACCCTTCAGTAGGCTGGTTATTAACCCTTAAATTGCGCATCGCATCATATGATGCTTTGACCGACTTGCAGTAAATTGCGCATCGCATCATATGATGCTTTGGAGTACTACGCAAGATTTAAACGGCCCGCGGATACACGGGGTTCACCACACCTTCATCAGGGCTCTTGTAAACAGACGCCATTTTAAAAAAAAATCGTGGGCCAAACTCTCGGGTGTTAGGGGCCTCAGTATTGAGTGAGCTACCAAGCCTGACGCACGCAGCATGAGCTCACAGCACTGCTGTTCAGCTTGTGACCACAGCATCGCCTAAAAATGCCATAATATACTTGTTCATGCTATTATGTAGCGATGATATTATTACAGAAGACCCCTGACTGTGATAAAACTGACCAGGGTTCTGATAATAGCAGGATTGTGGTGATATTTAGCGCTGTGCTCCATGGAGGGAGGAGTAATGCTGTGGGAGGGAGGGTGGTGGCGTTGTCTTCTGACTGTGTGTGGCCACCTTTTATTGACTGCACTCACCATACCAGCTTAGTGGTTCGCTATGGTGAACACAAATGTAGATACTTATATATAACGTGTGTATAGAGGGTATAAACAGCAAGAGAAGGTTGAGAGCCGCCATTTTGGTGAGGGCGGTGGCGTCGTCTGCACGACGCCACCTTGTTTACTGGTTACCATGGTGGTCTTTGGGCACCATACCAGTTTATTTGTACAAGTATGGTGAATAAAACAGGTAGATATTTATATATAATGTGTGTATATAGCGTAATAACACCACACAGTATTGTTGTAGGAGAAATATTAGTGCGTCTGGCCTTGAGGGCGGCAGCCATCAGCTGACTGTGTGAGTAGCTAGTACGTCTTTGTGCCTTTACTCACCATACAAGCTTAGATGTACAGTTATGGTGAACAAAACATGTAAATACTTATATATAACGTCTGTATATAAAAGCAAAAACAGTAAAAAGAATGGAGTGGGTGGAGAATGGTGGCAAGTCAGGTGAGGTGAGGTGAGGGAGTGGAGCTGGCAGCCAGTCACTGCCTGCCACTGCCACTCAGCATACCAACTTAGTGGTTCGTCATGGTGAACAAAACATGCAGATACTTATATATAACCTGTGTATATAGTGTAATAACCGACAAAGTATTTGTTCACTGTTTGATGAACATAATTGAATCAACAATATGCACACCATATTTTTGAGTACAGCAATGATTCACTCATTTTATTATATAAATATATCACACTACACACTATTGAATAATATTACAGCAAAAAAAAACTACGAAAAATCAATCAGAGACATTGAAATAATTAGGTAATTATCTCTTTGTGGAAACTCTGGCCTGACAGCTGGCGATCAACAGACCGCCTGGGACGCATGCTCAGTCAGCGCCTGATTTTTGCCAGACTTCCCCGCCCTATAGCGGGCAATATATGCCACTTACGATTTTTTTATTATTTTTCCCGTGATCAGTGAACACAAATTAACAGGTTAGGAGGAAAAAATTTTTTTTTTTTTTTTAGACTCGGAGGCTCCCCAGCATCCCTCCCTCCGGTTGGCGTTTTTTTTCGGGCATTTTTTACATACAGCCTCAGAACTGGGGTGTGGATCGCCGGCACGGGAGGTCTGGCCCCCCCCCCCCATCCTCTCCCAGGGAGGGGGGAGCTGCGCAGACGGCAGCGATGGGTGACGTCATACTAGATTGCTAGTTTTTGTTTGGGGAGTTCTATCCACTCTACTAGATTAAGGCAGTGTCTGGAATGCTTAATCTTAATTAAATGTATTAAGGCAGTGTCTGGGATGCTCCCGGACGCAGGGTCAAATCCTCGTCACGGCCCTTGTGGATTTGTTCTATCCACTCTTTTGGTTGCATTTTTCAACAGAATAGGGGTTTGTTTTGGGACGCTTACCTTTCCGGGTGCCTGACCCGGTCGATGGCAGACATAGAATGCTTCCAACAACACAGGTGTTTCTATAGGCCATTGCTACCCTTGCCTCTCTCAAGGGGGGCCTGGTTCTGGCTCGTGGTCCCTGGTAGGTTATCTTGACGTCATCTTGAGATGATTTCGGGGCTTGTGTCCCTGCAGCCCGGTCCTCGACCAGGCCTGGTTGATACTTGGTTGATGGGGTTCTGGGAGTTCTACTCCCCAAGCCCGGCCCGAGACCAGGCTTGACTTGTGAGAGTTTGGTCCACCAGGCTGTCGCTTGGAGCAGTCCACAGGCCTCCACCCCCAGGAAGCAACCTGGGACAGCTGACTAACTCCCAGGTACCTATTTACTGCTAGGTAACAGGGGCATTAGGGTGAAAGAAACCATGCACATTGTTTCTCGCTGTCGCCTGGGATTGAACCCGGGACCACAGGATTACGCGTTCAGTGTTCTGTTTACTCAGCCATCGGCCTCTCCACTGGTTCTGTCTTCCTCAGATACTGGTAGGCCCATAAGAATGTAACACCGTAAAGGTGTTTGGTTTAGTTGTATTTAAAATACATAGAGATTCAGGAGTCACAGACAGGGATTTGAGAAGGCGCCAGTTTGTCGGCCTGAGTCTCACACCTCTAAGCGTTAATGACCTCAAGTTGACCTGAGGTCAAGTCATGCGAATTTCACCTTGCTTCCGCTAATCTTATAATTGGAGCCTGGTAGCCTTCAAACATGCCGACGTTTAAGGAGTGGCTTGGTAGAGTGCCTGAGGCTATCTACTTGTGGGCGGAGTTAGTTACTAGGTTAGGTTAGTTACTCGGAGAGCAGAGCATAGGGCATTGACAGATAGAACAGGAGCCAGCCAGCAGAGAAGACGGCCTAGCCAGGGAGGCTGTTGGCCGGCAGGGCGGGACAGTCTCTGTCAACTACAGACCGCCCCCCCCCTCTCAATCCAGCTATAGGCAGACACTTGGTGAGTTGAGCATTAAGGTGACTTGGTCGTGTTTACAAATGTTGTGTGAGAAGCAGGGGCAGTCAAGTTGTAGGGTTCTCAAATTCTTGGATGATGGCTCACTTTGAATATTAATCTTTAACATTTTAATTAAATTGCTTAAATTATGATACTTATCATGTGAAATATAATTGAATTTATTATTTAAATGGTCTTTAACTTTGTTCCCTAGAGTTTTTAAGTTGAGATGAGAAAGTCTCTGCGCTTTCATGATTTAATGAGTATATGATACAAATGGAACAGACTAATAATGACCTCGTGATAACATCTTTGAGAATTTTGTGATACAGACAAGTTCCATTCCTTGTCTTGTATGTAATGGTCTAGAATGGATGGTGGCAGCATTTTGTCTTCTACTATCTACTCTTCTACTTCTACTATCTATTCTTCTACTTCTACCTATCTACTCCTCTCCCTCCACCCCCTCTCTGAACTTTCCCTTTCAACTAATGACCCTCCGCACTCCTCCCACTTCTCTACCTCTCTCACCCCACACCCTCACTAATTACTTCACTAGTCATCTCTTTCCTTTCGTGTCTCTTATATGTTTGTGGCAGTGAAATGTGTTCTAGAGTTCTCTCTAGAGTTTCGGGTAGCTGATCAAGTTACGGCGCCTTGTAGTTGTAGCACCTAGGTAGTCAAATACCTAGGTTACAAGGTGTTGAACGAGAGAGGTTGCCTTAGGAACTCTGGAGGTGCTCTAGAATAGTTAGCTAACTGGGGATGGGATAACGGACTAGAGAGAGCTGTTTTCCCCGGCCTCGTTAGTTAACTGGGGGGTTGGAATAATGGACAAGAGAGAGAGCTATTTCCCCCACCCCCCATTAAAAGAACTCCATGCACATGACTGATGCCAAAGTCTGACATTAGCATATCATCCTAGTAAGGTCTAGGGAGCCTCCGTGTCACACCCAAAAAATGGCGTTTCGTTACATTCAACGCTGGTTTTTTACTTATCTGTGGGTATTTATCTTTAGGGAACGGGGCTACCCACAGAAAACCAGCGTTGAATGTAATTGTCATTTTCTAGGCGAGCCCCGGAAGCTCCCTGACACCCTCCCTCCCTCCCTCTGGTCGGTGGTTTTCATCATTCTATGAACCGAGGGTTTTGCCACTGGCTCGCCTGAATGGGCTCCCCCTCCCTCCTATCATGGGAAAGGGGGGGGGGGGCACTAACAAGCAGGTATGCTAGTTGGATGACAATTTGCTTGCATGTTTGTTTTTATTTTGGGGGTAGTTCTTTGGCTCTGTTCGGACATAGGTAACAATTTTAACCAGTTGGGGGTTTGTATTGTTTCGCCTACTTTTCTGGTGGTATCTACGGTCGATGACAGACATGACAAACTCTAAATGTAGAGTGGTCATTTGGCCATTGTTCCCTGCACCTGTGAGTGGACCAGGTTCTGGCTCTGGGCTCCAGTAGGCACACACAACTCCATGGACTGATTACACCGAACTAATATGGCACATATCAGTTTGGATAGCTTCAGAGAGCCTCCGGGGCTCGCCCAGAAAATGGAGTTTCGTTACATTCAATACTGGTTTTATCAAGTGTATTTTGTATTAGCAATAAATAACATGAAGAATAGTGCTAATGATAATTTCAAAGTGATTTCTTTTCTAGAGTTTAAAACACGGGTGCTGGCAAAACTAGAATCGATCATCACAAATCAACGTGATCAGTTGTCCCTGCTGAAGGAGATTGCTGGATTACAACGTATGCATGTTGAAGACGAGCTTATAGAAGATCTTATACCAAAGCCCTTAAACTCCAAATTAGACCTATTGGAGCTCTCAAGGGTGCTTCAAAAGGATGCAACATTTAGAAAAGAACTGGTATGTATTTCCTCATATTAAAATTATTTTTATAAAGTAGTTCTACACTAAGCTGTGAAAAAACCCGGATGATAATCATGTGGTTCCCCATAAGATAACACTGCTGTGAATTGGGAAGAAAATTCTGTAGTTTTACAGGGTGACAGTTGAGGCATTGGTGCCACAAGGAACTTTTCAAATGTTATCATTCTGGTACTAGGGAGTATTGGAGGATATTTATCATTCAGCTAAAATAAAATTCAGGTGGGGGGGGGGCCATTGTGGCTCCCTGAAGCTATTATCTCTGATAGTGTGCTATATTACTAGGTCCCATCAGTTACGGAGTTTTATTGGCCTACTGGGGACCACTAGCCAGAACCTGCCCCCCCCCCCTCCCCTTGCACAGGGCATGGGACATAAGATAACATTTTATGAATTTATTCATGTCAGGCTTCACCTAGGAAGACACCTAGAAAGTCAATGAAACAAAACAAAAATCAATGCAAGACTTCAATCAAAACAAGACTTCAAATTAAACCACAGCCTTGCGAGCAGCCAGAAGAATGACCCCCCTCCCCAACAATGTAAACGAACGCTCGAAATTTCACAAAACTAGCGCAACCTCATTTGTTTCACCTCCCCTTATTTGGGGGGAGATGGGAAATGGCCCGTGTTTAGCCGACTGCTCCACCATCAGTTCTATTCTGGTGGTAGTGTTTGCTGTAGTCGCCTTCTCTTCTGTTCTGGCTCTGGTGTCCTGTTTTCAGGTAAATGATGTGTTTGTCTTTGTGGATATTCTTGTGCACTTTGGTACAGTGTGAGCCAGGAGTTGAGATTTGGAGCTGCATGTGCTCAGGGTTCTCTTCCTTGTGCACTGCTTAGTGCATTCTTGCATGATTCTAGTGGACTCTTGTTGCAGGATTCTCTTCCTTGCACTGCCAGGGTTATCTTCCCTGGAGTGTTCAAGTATTGCGCCACTAGAACTCTTCACTGCTTGTGGTGGCCCCTCACCCTAGGTGAGTCAGTTGTTGTTGACTTTGTCTTTCCTCATGTAAGAAGTGATTTTGGCTGGGGGGGGGGTGGCAATGTGGGATGCAAGCTATATTCAGCCCACTGAGGTCAGTCTTCACAGCCATATGTGACAGGCTGTGTTCGCCTACTTGTATGTCATTAGTATACTGTTATACCCCAGCTTTAACCAGTTCAGACTGGATATGCAGAGGTCATACCTTTAAAATGTCAAGGTACATCTATTACAAGGTAATTCATTCTGCAGTATTTGAAACACCATTATATGCATGTGTATTCTGGTTTGTTGAATAGTATTTTGCTGCATTATTAAATTTCTTGATGTGTTGTGAGAGAGTATTGTAATGCTAGTTTTGTTGGCTGGCCGCTACTACTGTCATTACTTCCTTTCCTACTCCCATGCCTGTGTGTGTCTGTCAGTACAGTCAACCCGGTGCAGTTGGTAAGCTTCTTGTTTGTTACATATACATACATATTTGTATGATGCTAATTTTGTGTAGTTGAACATCTACATATGTCTCCAAGATGTGTACAGTGGTACCTCGGTTTAAGAGTTTAATCCATTCCTGGAGACAGCTCGTATTCCAAAGCTAATTTCCTCATAAGAAATAATGGGAAATGAATTAATCCGTTCCTGAGTACCCTAAAAACCCCACTTCAAACTAAATTTTATACCTAATTCATCTGAATAAACCTACAAAACTATGTTCAAGTTATTACTTACCTTTGTTGTTGAATGCTGTAGGCGTATGGAAGATGGTGAGGAGGGAGGAGGAGGGGAGGTGTTATTGTTTGTAAGGGGAGTCCCCTTCCATTGTAACATCATGCAGTGAGGACCTTTCTGGTGTGCACTCCCTGGCACGTTTTGCCCGAGTACCACTAGGTCCTGGTTGTGGCTCACTGCTCGATTTTCTCACAACAAATCTGTCCATGGACACTTGTTTTTCCCTTCTTCGCAAGCTGTCTCTGTAGTAAGGCATCACATTGTCATTGAAAAGATTAAGGCAACGGCCTACTACAGCTTTCTCTGGGTGAGTCTTTTCAATAAAAGTTTGCATCTCTTCCCACATCTAACACACCTTCTTAATTTGTGCAGAAGAGACATTCGCTACTGCCTCATCCTCCTCCACTGGAGAAACATCATCAGCTGGGTCGTCTTGCTGTTCCTTTTGAAGGGCTTGGAGTTCTTCGGTGGTCAGTTCTTCGTTGTGTTCTTCCACCAACTCCTCCACATCATCACCATCCAATTCCAAGCCCATTTGCTGGCCCAGAGTAACAATTTCCTCAACAATAGGTGCATCATTTACAGGCTCAAACCCCTCAAAGTCTAGTTCTGTTACACATTCAGGCCACTATTTTCTCCAGCCAGAGATCAGGGTTCTTTCAGTCACTTCTTGCCAGACTTTGTCAATGAGTTTTAAAGAACTATAAATGTTAAAATGGTCTTTCCAGAACTCTTTGAGAGTGAGGTTTGTGGCTTCAGTCACTTCCTCAAACCGCGCATATCATATATATATGATTTCGTGTCTAGCGCTATAATTTAAACTCCCCGCCTGGGATAGGGGCAGCTATAGTACAGCCACGACCGATAGTTGCCAGATGCCACCTAGAAAAAAAAACCAGGCCAACATTCTTGGGTGTTACAGCGTCAGTATTGAGCAAGCCACCAAGGCTGGCGCACGCAGCACGAGCTCACAACACCGCTGTTCAGCTTGTGACCACAGCATCGCCTACAAATACCATAATATATATGATACTGCTATTATTTAGCAGTGATAGTATTACTGAAGCCCCCTTGACTGTGATAAAACTTACCAGGATTCTGATAATAGCAGGATTGTGGTGATATTTAGCGCTGTGCTCCATGGAGGGAGGCGTAAGGCTGTGCGAGGGAGGGTTGTGGCGTCGTCTTCTGACTGTGTGTGGCCACCATTTATTGACTGCACTCACCATACCAGCTTAGTGGTTCGATATGGTGAACACAAATGTAGATACTTATATATAACGTGTGTATAGTGTGTGATAACAGCGAGAGGAGTAGGTTGGGAGCCGCCATTTTGGTGAGGGAGGAGCGTCGTCTGCACGTCTTGGCATGGTGTTTACTGATGGCCACTATGGTCTTTGGGCACCATACCAGCTTATTTGTTCAGGTATGGTGAATAAAACAGGTAAATACTTAAATATAATATGTGTATATAGCGTAATAACACCACAAACAATATTGTTGAAGGACAAATATTAGTGCGTCTGGCCTTGAGGGCGGCCGCCGATCAGCTGACTGTGTGAGTAGCTACGTCTTTGTGGCCTTTACTCACCATACAAGCTTAGATGTACCGTTATGGTGAAGAAAACATGTAAATACGTATATATAACGTCTGTGTATAGCGAATAAATACAGAAAGAGTATTGTAGGAGGTGAATGAGGGTGAGTGAGGTGGTGTTGAGGGAGGGAGTGGCAGTGAGTGGCTCGCTGGTGTTTGGCGGTCACTCCTCGTTGCTTTTTGACTCACAAGACCAACTTAGTAGTTCGTTATGGTGTACAAAACATGCAAATACTTATATATAACCTGTGTATATAGTGTAACAACAGCAAAACTATTTGTTTATTGTTTTATGAACATAATAATTGAATCACTAATATGCACACCATAATTTTGAGTACAGCGATGGTTCACACATTTTATAATATAAATATACCACAATTCACTGTATGGAATAATATTACTGCAAGAAAACTAAGAAAAAATCAATCAGAGACATTGAAATATTTAGGTAATAATATATTTGTGGCAACTGCCGTCTGACAGCTCGGGCGGAGTAGACCTCATCTGGTGAAGGCTCTGCCAACGCCCCTTTTTTGCCACACTTCCTTACCCTATTGCGGCTAAAATATGCCACCTACGATTTTTTTGTTATTTTTTCCGTGATCAGGGAACAAAAATGAACACTTCTATAAGACGAAAGAATTTTTTGGAATTTTTTTTTTTTGTTGCGCCTGTGGGTTTGAATTCCATTTGGGCCCCTAGCGGTTTGAGGGTTAAAAACATTTCCGGAAAAGTGCCCTTTCATACAGTTTCTTAAAATTCGCTATGATTTTCTGGTCCATAGGCTGAATTAGAGGAGTGGTGTTAGGAGGAAGGAACTTTATTGTGAGAAATTTACTGTATCTGTGCATTAATTCATCTTCCAATCCTGGAGAATGAGCAGGAGCATTGTCAAGGAGATGCAGGGCCATGAGTGGCAAATGTTTCTCCTGCAGATATTTTTCTGTGGCAGGGCACACCACTTCATTCACCCACTCCGCAAAAATAATCCTAGTCACCCATGCCTTTTTATTAGCCTTCCACATCACACACATTTGGGTTTTCTGCACTTTATACTGTTTGAAAACCCTTGGATTTTCAGAATGATACACTAGCAAGGGTTTAATTTTCAAATCGCCACTCGCATTTGAACACAGCACAAGCATAAACCTATCTTTCATAGGCTTGTGTCCGGGCAATGATTTTCCTCCTTGGTAATGTATGTCCTCTTAGGCAATCTTTTCCAAAACAGTCCTGTTTCGTCAAAAGTAAACACTTGTTGCGGTAGGTATCCCTTAACCTCTGCAACCAATCTAAATTCTTTAAATTGTTTAAATTCTTCAATAAATCCTTCAGCGGCTGGTTTGTCTGAGCTGACTGCCTCCCCATGCCTCACAACACTATGGATACCACTTCTTTTTCTAAATTTTTCAAACCAGCCCCTGCTTGCCTTAAACTCTTTCGTATCTGCATCACTCGTTCCATGGGTTTTCTTTATAAGGTCTTCGTGCAATACCCTGGCTTTCTCACAAATGATGGCCTCCGAAACACTATCACCCTTTAACTCCTTGTCGTGTATCCAAATTAATAACAACTTTTCCACTTCTTCAAGTATTTGTGGTCTTTGTTTCGTCATTGTTCTTACGCCTATTGCCACTTTAGCACTCGTAATGTCGTTTTTCTTCTTAA